GAGGGGAGGAGACCTGCTCACAGACTCAGGTGTGAAAAGAGAAGGACACACCTGGGTCAAGGGAATCCCAGAGAAAAGAGGACAGAAACCGTCATGGAGCAGGGGCCTGGGAGAGAGAGGCTGACCCTGGGTCGCTCTCCTTGTAAAAGACAAATTCTTCCTCTTGGGGCAGCATCCACTCAGATCTCCTCGGCATAAGATTCTTTTCATGCCTCAGGCCCGGACCCAGGATCCAATTTTGGAGACCTGAGGGCAGCAAAGGCCTGGACAATAATGGGGACCAAGGAACCAAATATTAGATTCCAAGATGGGAGATGAGGGCTGTGAAAGAGATCACCTTCAGCAGAGGGAAGTTGGCCAGAAGGCTGGGGTCAAGCTCTTCGACAGAGTAGAGAAGTTCAATCAGCTGAATGTCAGCCCTGCTCAGCGTGTTGCCAACCAGGTAGTCTTGTCCGTGGCTCTTCAACACCTGGAGAATTTGAGGGATCAGGTCATGGACACAGGCACAGTCAGGCTGGGGCCCCTGCTCCTCCCGGGTCTCTCCAGCCCCACTCTCCCCCTCTGCTGCCCCCCCAGGGCGGATGTGGAGCCTCAGACCTTCTCCACCGGCCCTGACTCAGTGAGACGGAGGGAGGAGTGGGCTCTGCTGTTCTTCCCTCGCTCCTCAGCTGAAGCCCAGGCCACCATGTCCTTCGCCCCTTCCAACGTCACTGGGCTCCTGCTGCACCTTCCTCTGGGCCAAGGGGTTAGCACCCGCTGTGCCATGTTTCTGTTTGCCACACGCCCTACTGTCTCAGGAACCATGAGATTTCAGGATGTGGCTCTTCATGCTGCTCTCTCTCCTCTCTCACTTGGGCAAAGACTCCATCTTCACGACAGCCTTCTTCAGTCCCCAGCTGACTATTTCAGAGTCTACTTTTCTCCTCTCCTCTGCTCTCCTCATTTCCTGTCTATCTCTCTGGGACCTGAAATAAACCTGGGTCACCTTGAACTCACCGTCTTCCTTACAACATTCCCTCTGCTTCTACTCCACTTGTATCTGTCAATAACATTGGTGGAATATGTTCTAATTTGCAGCCTGAAGTGTCTAGGTGTGACTGCAATGATGTCTACAACATGCTTTAAAATGTGTCAAAAAATAATATGTTTGACTGGAAGGGAGAGGAATGGACATATATGATTAAGCAAGCATCGTAATAAAATGTTAATTTTTGAATCTGTGTGGTGGGCATATATTTCATGGTACACATCTTTCAACTTTTGTGCATATGTTAATTTTTTAATACTAATATAATTGCAGACTATGTTTATTAAAAATGTTGCAGCAATATGGAAATCACAGAGAAAAAACACACATGGCTCCACCAACTAAAGATCATAAGATTATGACAAATACCCTTTCAGACTATGTATGCATATAGAAGTTGGATCAAAATAAAGACTATAACAAAGCATCAAATGCCATTTTGTGATATGCCTCTTTCATTTATGTTATCACAAGGCTCTTTGATTTCCGAGTGTAGATGTCCTCAAACTGCAGTGACTGAAGAGCTTGTCACCATGTGAATGTGCCTAAACCCTCAGCACCACGAGCACCAGGAGAGTGGAGGTTCTGATTAGTATAAGTGCTTTGCTCCTTCAATAGGATCTGAAACACTAGAAATGAATTAACATTTGTTGAATGGATGAAAGAATGATTTAATGCCTTACAAAGACAAGGATTCTATTTGTATGTGAGGCTGCTGTATCTCTTACAACCATTTTTTGCTTCATGATTTTTATTTAGCAAGATTTCAGGTACTTTTGATCTTGAAATATTCTCCTTTACCTTCAAAGAGAAACCTTAACTAAGGTAGGTACTATGTATATTGATGGAACTTTATTTCCTTAGTTTGCATGACTTTCCTTAAAAATCTAAGAGCCATGTTTCACAAATTTGTAGATTACTTTCCCTTAACATCTCTACATCTATCGCTTCCTCTCCATCCACTGCCCCATCTCTGTTAGACACATCACACTCATTCTCTGAAACATTACCACATTCTCCTGATGGGCAGCTGGTCTCATGTCTCCCTACACATGGTACCAGAATATTTTTTGATGTATGGCTTGCATCGTATTCCTCCAGGAGCAAAAGCCCCTGTATGGTGCTCTGCAGGATCTGCTCCAATCTCTAGGGAGGCTCTCAGAGCCTTTTACAGCCCAGGCTCTATGACCATGAAATTCCACTGAATAGAGAATTCTAGATTTCATCCAAGTAAGTTGAAATTTTGCTGAAAAATTACAACTTGGTAAACCTGATACAATTGTCTCTTACAGTGGATTTTTATAAAATGCCTCGAGAGTCAGGTGCTCCATTAACTAGTATTCAGGAAGGCTCCCTGGAAGTGAGGGTCAATGCCCCAGGAATGCCCAGACACTCTTTCTCTTTCTCCTCTAACCTCAGTGACCCCAAAACACTGAAAAGCCCACTTACTTTTTCAAATGCAGGGAGATAACGATTTACTGTTCTGTCTTTGATCAGGGTGATCTTAGCATCTTTTTGATCAGGTGGGCTTATGGGCAGAAGCAGGATCATTTCATTCAAATCTGCTATACCTTCTGTGTACATATCAATCCTGAAAGACAAAAATGACCAAAGTGTCAAATGTCTCCTGCCTTAGATGTTATAGTCTAAAAGTGAAAAGAATGAGGCACCAGGGTGTGGCAAAGGAATTCACCTCCATTGGGTGCATTTTTCTACACCACTCATTCACCTATAGTTTTACTTAATTTTCACATTTCATTCCAGAGCAAGCTCTCAAGCTAGATAAGTCTCTAAAATTTTTGCTGCACACATGACCAAATATAAGGACTGAGAGCATAGGTGACCTGCCCAGGGTCACAGGCATGAGAGACACTGGTGGAATCACAGCAAGTAACCACTGAAACTTTAGCTAGGGTTTGCCATCTCTGCTGGAGTTTGGTCTGTGCACAAACTCAGTGTGATTCACACGGCCAAAGACCCGCCACCTAAGTAACCTCCAGAGAGAGTCCCTGGCACAGCCCTCTCAGTCACGGCCCTCTCCCTCTCATCCTGTTAACCACCCAGGCCCACATAACACCCAATGTTCATCAGGGTTTGAAGAACTCTGTGACTGTGCCCTATACATGGCCATATCCTCCTCTAATCCCACTTGCTTGAGTCCACTGCAGGTTTCCTGTCCCTAATCCTCCAAAGTCTCTGCTGTAATGGACCTCAGTCTATACCACCAAGGTCATGATCCCCCTGCCGTGGTCCTGCTCCCTCAGGGACGGACCTACATTGTTCCTATTAACTGTTGATGAAAGAGCAGGAAAAATACCGTACAGGGCTCTCTCCTTTATGTCTTTCCCATAGAGGTTGTATTTGGCAGCGATGTAGTTGAGAATGGCTCTGCTCTGCACCAGATTCATCCCATCAATTTCGACCATTGGCACTTGCTGGAACATCAGACTCCCGTCTTTGGAAAGAAGAAAAGAAAAAAGAGAGTGAAATCTTTTATGGATGACACTTTCAGGATGAAAAACGGTTTGCTGAAATGACTGAAGATAAAAAATGAAAAAAAAATTATAACCTGGGAACATTTCACAGGGTATAGAATTTGTTTTTAGCTTCCTGTAATCCTTTTTCTTTACAATGTGCCTTTACTTTTTAGCATATTATTTCACTTATCATTTTATTTCCCATCCCGATACATGGGAGGTCCCTGTGCTTTTTGCATTTGATTTCTCTTCAGGGATATTTTAGGAAGAAGTTGGGAGAGGCTGCAATACGGTCACCAGTCAGTTGCCATTTCAGTTGGAAAGTTCCCAAGATAAGTCTGTGGGTTCCTGCCATTAAGGCCAGTACTAAGAGGGATTTCTCCAGAGGGTGTTTTGTACAGTCCTCAAACCCACCCATTGGAGAGTGTGTGCAGGTGGCCCTGTGGTCCCCACCCCACTGCTCTTGGCCCTCAGGATTTTGCTCCCTCCTCACAGGCTCCCCTCGCCTTCCAACTAACTCAACGCCATCTTGCTGAGTCTCTAATACGCTAGGACATCACATTGTCAACCCGTCAGAGAAGAGAACTCAAGGCAATTGCAGGGCCTGTTTCTCCTCTTTGACTCTAACACATGTGTTTGCTGTCCTTGCAGGGAGGGCTGTGGGATCCTGAGCTGCTAGAGCTCAGTCACTGGGCAGAAAAGCAGGAGAAGCAAAGAGAGGGATCCACAGGGCCTGGGGGATGGTCCTGGAGCAAACACTCAGAGAGTTCCAGCCCTTCCTGCCCTGAGCGAGTTACCAAAGCTGCTCAAGGAGCCCCAGCCCTGACATTTGCACCACTTCCCTCCCTCTCCCTGGCCCCCAGCTCCCAGGGTACACACACATAGGCATTGCCCGGGGTTAAACCCCAACACATGACTTCTACTAGATACTCTCATCAGAGGCATTTAGATACTAGGTCTTACCATTTCGTAACTTTTCCAAGTCGTCTGAAGTGTCTACAAATTTCTCTTCAAACTGGAAAGCAGAAACAGTCAGTGAGTTCTTGTTCTTTCATTCCACAGCATTATAGAAATTTTACACTTGAATGGCCCCTGTCTGGTGCATGATGAGGAGAAGGGAGATTTGTGAGCTTGGCAGGGTATGCAGAGGAGTGTGATCAGGGCCACTGGGAATTGAGATGAGAGGCGTCAGGAAAGAGCACGGGTTACAGCAGTGACAGCTCACTCTTGCAGTTTCAATTCACCTC